AATATAATTTTAAATATAATTTACACATATTAAAATTTTTTTATTATATTAATTTGATAATTTTAATCTAATTAGTAATTTTGTTAATCTTATTTCTTTAAAACGTGATCGATTATTTTAGAGACAAAATAATTTTATACATTGATATTTAATCATAATCATTTAATTATAGGAGTTAGTAAAGCCTTAAAAAATAAATTAGATACATTGAAAAATAAATATGAAAAAATTAAAGTGGGTTAATTTAATTTTTTTTAGCTTAATCTTCCTCATAAAATATAAAAAACGAAGAGATATTTTTAATACATCTCAAACCAAATAAGATTTTTACATAATTTTAAAAAAAAATGAAAGCATTCTCTTCATTTTCTCTCATTTCTCTTGAAAGAAAAGGAAAAAGAAAATAGGGTAAAACGATTACCCAGAGTTGGAATTTGCCTTCACGAAGTTTGATGAAAAGAGATGATGTCGATGGTGGATAATGGCCGGTGGATAATGGTCGTAACATTAAAATATAATTGATTGAATTTGAATTAATATAATATTAAATTTAAGTTTAAATTTGATTCAAAATTTAAAATTAAAAGTTTGATTTAAATTTGATGATTTAAATTTGATTGAATTTTATTTTTTTAATTTAAACTTAATTTGATATACAAATCGAATTACTCGAATTCATTCGATTATATTTAATTCACATATATTTTTATTTTTATATTAAAAAAATTTAATTATTTATACTTGAACTTGAATTCGAACTCGAGATCGAATTCGAGATATTTTATTAATTAAAATAATATAAATATATTTAAATATTAAAATTCAATTAAACTCATAAATTACTTGAATCGAATATAAAAATATTTAAATTTGATTCGATCGATTAATTAAACAATTTGAATTCGAATTCGACTCGATAATAATATAATTAAATTTAAATTTTATTTGCATCGAACTTAAATAATTTACGAATACTAATATATCATTTATATATTTACACAATATCAACTAAATACTTATTGATTTACAGAGAAAACTTCTCATTATTCGTTAAAATGCCCTAATTTCACCATTTTTTTTAGCGTAATTCTTTTTTCCTTTCAACACATTTATCGAGGCAAAACAAACAAAAATGTAATATAAATTTTTTTATGCAAAAATTTTAAGATAAATAAATTATTTAATTTTTTATCAAAATAAAATATACTCATAATTTAAAATAGATAAGTTAAAATTATATATTTAAAATAATTTTAATAAATAATTATAAATTCAAATTTAAAATTTTTATAAAAAAAATAATTGTATCAATTAAATTGATCACTTATTGAATCAACATCGCAGCTTCGAAGCCACACCCCAATCTCCACCGCTCCATTTTCTTTTATTTTTTCCAACATAGATCAGAATTTCAGATTGATGGATTGTTTTTATTTAATAGGTTTCTTTGGACTTATCCTAAGAACCATGATAGCCAAAATTGAAATCGTTTCATTTCTGGCGGGAATTCCCATCATTCTTTACAGAGGTACCATTCTGCAATTTTTTCCCTATCATAATCATAATTCCTTCTGCAAAACCAATTACCCGATCACCTTTTTCTTGTCATTATAGTAATATTTTATTGAATTTCTTTCTCGAATCATGATGTTTGACACTACTTTTTTTTTTTCTTATGGTGTAGGGGCTTGTGAAATTAAGGCCATGGAGCACCTGCTATTTGCTCAAATAAATACTCTCTCATTTATGGTTTCTGGTCCTACTATATATATATATATATATGTAAACTTTTCTTCTCTTTGTCATTCATTCTTGCTTTCTATGTAAAGTTAAAACTTCATCATTGTTCACAACTAATTTTGATTCTGGTTTTGAATTTTCTTTTGCTTCCTGGGTTTGGACTGTAAAAGTAGCATAACTTGTCAAATATGTAATCTATGCAGTTTAGTTGTACTTCATCAATCTGCAATTTAAAAATTAGATGGTTTTTTTAGATCATGCTTTCTAACCCTAAAGAGTATTATGAGATTTGTCCTGATCAATTTGTTTGCTCTAACGATAAGAGATTCGTGCAGTATAACTTTTTTATTTAAATAAATTGTATAATTACATTGAATTGGCCAATTATTCATATTGTAAATATTGATTTCCACCTTCTGCTCTACTGAATAAACAATGATATCGTATCTCTCAATAGAGATTTGGATTCGAATTCACTCTATTATTAATTAAATTTAAATATTAATGTTAGTAAAATTTATTTAATATAAATTTTTTAATTATAATTGTAATAATATTTATTATAATTTTTAATTTTATTAAAATTAATCTTATCAAATATGTAAATGGACCCTCAAAATACTGAAGATGTACAGTATTATCTTCCACACTCAGCACAACCCCCAAAATATTACTATATACTTTAGACTGGTATTTAGGGCTACCAAAAGTCAAATATGAAAGTAACGTTGGTTTTCTTCTCTCTTTGCCTCACAAATGAATGTCAACAGTTTAGATGTAACTTGACGTGTCCTCAGCTTCTTCTTTTTTTATTTTTTTAATAGAATTTTTAAGATATATTCTTTTTCTATTAGTGTTAGCTTGCTATTTTTTCAATACATAAAAAAAAAAAATGTTATCTCAATTGATTCGAGATATTAATTTTTAGATTATGATTTTTTTATTAAAAAATTAACTCACATCAAGATTTTATAATAACTCTTACTAAATTAAATTCCTAAAAATAAAGTTATTTTCAATCTCTATCTTATTCAATATTGAAATGTGCCTTGTCCTGTTCAACATAGGAAAATCTGGTACTCTATCATAAAAAAAAAAATCGTGATTTAACTAAAAAATGCATCGAAAACAAAGACTTTCTGTGCAAAGAATTTATTATCAAAATTCTCAAAAGAATCCGCAAAATGCAATTTTAAGATTTTATTCGAATATACAATAAAATTTTTTCTGATAAAATTAAATATAATAATAAAAATTAATATAATTATAATTAAAAAATTATTATAATTATAATTAAAAAAATTATATTAAATTAATATTTAATTAAAAAAACGATAAATTTAATCGTAGTAAATCCGAGTACCTCACCCAACATGGGGTGAAATCTAAATGGAGCCTAAATATTACATTATACAATTCAAAGCTGATCAGACGAAATGTGGTGTGGGTTTATAGCCAAGATCTAATAATGGCAAACAGTCTGAAGGCTAGAGCCACCCTACAGCTGAAACAATTACTAAGAAAAAATGATGCAGACTTGCAGTTGCTATCTTTTGAATTTACTAGCAATTGCAATTGAGACCAAAGGGAAAAAAAAAAGGTGTAGCAGTAAACCGGGACAATGAATGAGCGTGACAGGAGCTACAGCGCTCATCCCAAGGAAGAAAATTTTGAAGAAGAGAGCCAAGGGGATGTGCAGAAGAACAGTGTGATGATAATTCCATCTTCGGTTGGGTAGCAGAAAATATATGGATATTCTCTCAGTCCTCATCAGGATTCAGAAGTAGGGGGCTGTGTGTAGCTGCCCCTGCTCATTTTATAAATGCGTTTTGTCCTCCGCCCAGACAGGCGCCCCCCAGCGAGAGAATTTCATTTAATTTCCCCTTCTCTCTAATTTCACTCAATTTTAGGGGTTTTTCTGCAATAATAATAACTTTAATGGTACATCTGTGCACTGGATTTTCTTTTTTTTTTTTAATAAGATGATCATATGTATTTTTAAATTTTATTTAAAATTATATTTTAATATATTTAAAAAGTATTTGTTAACTAAAATTCGAGGTAAAGAAATTATTTAATTCTTAAATTAGGATAAAATAAAATATATTATATTTGATAATTTAAAAAATAATAATTATAAATTATATATTCAAAATAATTTTAATAAAAAATTATTAATTAAACTTGAACTAAAAATTTTTTACGTTGAGAAAAATAATTCTATCAATTGAGACAATCTTCTATTGGTTTTGTTTAAAAAATATTCTATGATATGCATTTACAATTTTATTTTTATAAAATTTAAAATTATTAAATATTATTTTTAAAAATAATTATATAAATTAATTAAATTAAATATTAATTCTTGCTCAGCTTTACATCTACCCTAAAATTAATCAAAATTGAGTATATACTTTGTAATTTGTTAATAAGATTTTTGTATTTTGACTTATAATTGTTAAATATACAGTTATACACCACCCAACTCTAGTTACTTGAATTGAAAAATGCCAAAAAGGCACGTGTCATTTTGAATGAAAAAATACGTTATTAATACATCCTATATTCTGCATGGACCTTTATATTTCACAAAAATAAATGATTTTTTTTGTATTATTAAATTTTTTCATCAATGAAAAAAGAGAGAAAAAAAAACCTAAACCCTCATGGGCTAGCCATTTAAGGGCACAACCCAAAAGGAAAGTACTGATTAATACTATTAATAACTCATAAAACCTTAATTTAGATATATTATAATTGCTGTATTCATATTTTATGTTGAATAAAAAATTATTATGTTATAATTTCTATAAACATATTAAATATAAAAAATATATTTTTATTAAAATTTAAATTTAAAATTTTATATTATTTTTATATAGTATAAAAAATTATTAATTTACCTTACTTCGTACCTAAACGAAGTTAAATCCGTCATTTTGGAAATATATGTACGTGCAAAAATGGTACTAGCTTCCATTTATGGCAGTACAGTTAAAGGAGTGTCCTCTACCGTGTCCCTGTCTTTTGTGGAAAAATAAAATCTGTTCCTAGAAAAAAAAATAGTAGCAAAATTTTATTTATATATATATATTCATGGGGCTTTTTGTGATCATGACGACGTTGGCAATATTACAATTTAGAGAAAACAAATAATATATAAATATTTTTTTTCATGAGAAAATATAGCTTGTAGCCCTATATTTGAGAGAAAGAAGCAAAGGTCAAAGTAAGGCAGTTGGGTAGGGGAAATGATTTAAGGGAAGGCAGATCAGAAACTCGTGATGGGATTTTCATTTTTTTCAGTTCTTTTTATTTTGGGTTTTGATTTTTATCTCTGGAAATGTGCAGAGATTTATAGAGTATAGAAACAGAACAAAGCCAGTATCAGGCAGGTATGATCAGTGCTCCTTAAGGAATTTACAGCTTCCTGTTCTCGTGATCTTTCTTTTTCTCTTTCTCTCTGTCCTTTGGTTGCTGTTTTGTTTTACATTTCCTTGTTTCTTTTGCTTTTCTTCAAGGCCTTTGCTCCTGCACTTTGTCCCTTTGTTGCTGCTATGTACCTAGACAATTCCAACAAGATTGAAAGAACCAGGAGTTAAAAAACAGCACGAAAACCTGAAATATAGGTATTTTTATTAAGCTTTGTTTTTTGTTTTGAAAGGATATACCTTTGAGCAAAAACGAGTGATTTTGGAGTACTCATTTGAGGCTTTTTTTTTTTTTAATTATCAAAGGGTTTTACAGAAAGAAAGAATTTTGGAGGAGATTGAAGAAAAGGAGTAAAAATGGTTAGCTGTGGGAGGAGCGGTGCAGTGAGGCAGTATATAAGATCAAAGGTGCCTCGTTTAAGATGGACTCCTGAACTTCATCATTGTTTTGTTCATGCCATCGAAAGGCTTGGTGGTCATGACAGTAAGTTCCTTTCTTGTTGATTCCTTCTGTTCCTCTTTCTCATGATCTTCGTGTTCTTGAGCTGAGGCTATATTAATGATAATGGTTTTTCTGTTGGCTTCTACGTCTCTGCCAGAAGCTACGCCAAAACTTGTTCTTCAACTGATGGATGTGAAAGGACTCACCATTTCACATGTGAAAAGCCACCTTCAGGTTGGTCTCCCTTTCCTTTTTTCTTTTACTTATTCTATCGTTTTGATTTGTTTATTTTGTTCCCTTTTCTTGATTCCTTGGCCTTCAATCCCCTATCTTTGTGTCTCCTTCGATCGTTTTGTTCACATGGGTTCCCATTCCTTCTAATCAGATGTATCGGAGCATGAGAAGTGATCTCGGCAGACAAGGTATCTTGGCTCTTTTTGGCTCCTTTCCCCATATGCACTCAAATATATTTAAATCTCCCTTCAAAAACTTCTTTTTTTAAATACCTTTTCCTATTTTAAAATTTTTAACTATCGAGCTGTGATTATTCATCAGTGTGTTTTTTGCATTAAAGGCTGATTTTGTATGATGATTTCCTCTAATGGTTGTCTTTTGGAGTTAAAAATCAAAGATCATACTCCCATCCTTGCATAGTTTGTGGCATAGAGTAGATTGTATCACTTCATTTATTATCCTTTCTCTCTTATTCACTTGATACCAAAATAGATGAGAACAGTTATTAACTTGTTTGCTTTCAAATCTTCTACTATTGGTATGTCTGATGAAACCTATACCCTCAATTACTTGACTGCAGCTGTTTCTCAATGTTTTCTGAATTAAATCAAACCATGAAAAGTTGCATACATCCTTTTACCTTTATTCCCAACATGAATATGCATTCATATTATCATAAACTAACAGTGGGTAAAACCCAAATTTCATTGACTCTTCTTTTCATGATTATAATTATTAATACGAAGGATTTATTTCTTACCTTGAACTTGTTGGTGTGTTGGGTGTCTCAATGACAGATAGGGGTTCAACCCATCAACGAAGACAATCTTTTGAGAACCATGATGGATGTGTTGATGAAGTAAATTGTATTGGTTTTCACTCAACTTCGAAGCCCATTGAAGAATCAGATTCTCATTTGACCTATTGTCCACTACCTTCAAAGAGGTCAGCTTAGCTTTATCTCTCATGGGTACAGACTTTTCAAATGTATATATATATATATATATATATATATATATAAAGTTGATAGTGTAGTGCAAGAAACAAACCAAAAAAGATTGTATATCTTTTCTTTTCAGATACCACTTTTTCTTTTTCCTATAAAATTCTTTTTGTTTGATTTCTTTGCTCCTTTTCTTACCCCCCTTGGAGCTAGAATCGAGACGAGGAGTTCAATCTCTGATCAGAATCTGCAATGCGGTCAAGGAATATGTGAGACAGTCTCAAATCCGTATGCTTTTGATGATTATCTGCAGACCATGGCGATGCATATGGGAATAAAGGAAGGTAATGGTGCTTTCATACGGGAGCACACCCAGTCTCACTCTCAGGGTCAATCTACCACAACCTTCTCTCTTCCTCATGATCTTTCCAACCTCAACCCTTTCAAATATTCAGCGGGAGAATCTGATTTCCTTAAGGTACAATAGAAAAACCCGTCCTCTGTCTCTCTCCCTGATATGTTTCTTTTGCCAGCTTTTCTTTTTGAGGCTTGAGTGTAATGTTGGTTTTGCTTCCCAACTTTTTAAATTCGAACCTGTTCTTGGAAGGTGTCTTGTTTGTATGGTTAGTTTCCAGACACAATGTGGCTCACTGGCTCTTATGACCAGTGATAACAGGCAATAACCGAGCCTAGCTACTTGCCTTACAACAGGTCTAGTCACATAGTGTTTTCACTTCAACACCAGTTCATGAAAGGCACAACGAAAACCAGTCCAAAAAGGCTATAACCTTTTCGTTTCCTCTCAATTAGGACGATGCTAAAGAAAAAGAGAAAAAATGAATGAATGAAAGTAGGCAAAAAGGATTAAAAATTGTCTCTATTTAATTTTTTTTTCTTTTTCTTTTCTGGTGTTGTTATTCTACATCTTAGGTTAAAAGAAAAAATGTTTTCTAGAAATGCAATGCTAAACTGAATTATTATTATTTTTTTACATTTTGCTTTAAAAAGTTTTTCTTTACCCTTCATTTAATTGAAATTCCAGGAATGACCTAAAAAATTGTTGTATGAAGCTCTCTGATTGATAGAGTTTTTACATTCATTAGTCCACTGTAATTCTAATGAATAGGGGGCCCCCCTTTTTGGGGCGGTTAGAATGGAAATTCAGAAATGAAAGCGTTATTGCTTTGGACCAGACATAACCTTTTTAGAACCAACGATCTGTACGGATTAAAAGCGGTGGGTCTGCTACTTTATTGAATTTCATGGTTTCCTTCCCTTCCATCTGATTCTGCGGTAAACATTTGTCCTATCTCGACTCAATTTTTAATTCTCTTATCTATTTTTACAGGTATTTACTATAGTTCTTACAGGAAAATCCATTGCCTTGAGGCAACAAATGTTTCACTATTCTATGACTGTTTATTTCCATCAAATTCACCCAGGAATTTTCAGCCATCTGATATCTGAAACATGTTCTGTGCATGGACCGTGGCCTTCAGGGTTTCATGAAATTGCATTTAGCAGTCATTAAACCAGAATTTTCTTTGTCTCAGGTTGCCAAGGTAAAAGTAGAAAAGTATCAGAAACATGCAAAGGAGCAAGACAGTAAACATGTCCAAGGTAATGTAAGGGACGAAAATGAAGGTGGCTGCGAATTATCATTGTCACTGTCATTGCATTATCATCCATCTTCCAACAGAAGTAACACTTCTTCCACAAGTGAAATCAGCAGCAGCGAGGCATTCTCATCATACTCAAGGTCTGTCTATGAAGACTGCTGGGGCTCTTCCTCCTACACCCAACATAGTATAAACTTAGATCTATCTATTGCTCTTTGTGGCAACTAATATTTTTTTTATTTTCTCCCTTTCATGAATATATCTGGTTAATCATGTTCTTATGGTTTAGCTTTGGAGCTCATCCAGGTTTTGGTTTTAGAATGTATGACTTGAATTCACTGGAATTTGCGTTTCCTTAAAAAATAAGAACTAAAACTTTATGGTTAGGAAAAAATCAAAGCCAAATTCTTAACCTCAAATATGAATATAATTAAAAATTAAAAATTAAATTTAATTGATTTAGTTAACACTCTTCAAAAAATAAATTTTAGTAAGACTTCAATTCTTTTTTTTTTTTTTTTTTGTAAAAAAACTATATAATTAGGATTGGATTGTTATTTTAAATCGAGGATTATATATATATAATTATATTTATAAGCTGTGAAATGGTGGAGTTTTAAAATCACAAGTAGATTTATGTATTTTGATGTGTTCATTGAGTGATAATGTTAATTTTTTGTTTAATTAGAACATTGTAAACATGTGATAATTTTAACATCACAAGTAGATTTATGTATTTCTATACGTGTTAATTGAGTGATTATGTTAAATTTTTTATTTAATTATAACATAGTAAACATGTGATAATTTTATAAATATATTTGTCAAGTTTGGTAATTTCATTTTTGGATATGAGATATAATTTAGAGTACAATATTATATTAGTTCTTTTAACTAAATAATAAAAATATTTTTTTCTAATTTTATAAATTTCACTTTCTTTTTCGAGATTAAAACATGAAATCTATGGAGTGGAAGTTGAAATTTTAAGAAAGGGGTGGCAAATTAATTACTTATAACTCATAAGTTCGACAAAAGAAAAAGTATTTTATTCACTGTGATTGGGATTTTTAGTCTTTACAAGTGAAGTTAGTATGACACATAACTTTTAGATAATAATTAAAAAAATTGAAACATGTTACATGTGTCAATTTTTTAATTTTTTAAATTTACTCTTGGAGTTAAAAAATTTTTGCTAACAATTTATAAAAAAAATATAAATGATTTAAATCATGATAAAAATAAAAAAAGCTATGCATGAAAATTAAATGATTAAATTACTAATTGCTTGTGAATATTAATGGTGCATATTGGCTTAATACCAATATGAAGAATTAAATACGTTAAAATGCCTTTAGTCCCTTTTTAAACTTTGTAAAAATGCTTGTACTCATCCTCATCAATAATAATAAAAAATAAATAAATAAGCCCTACATTAAATTAATTATCTTTAACTAACCTATTTCGTACTTGCGGGTACAGTGTACAATAACTAAACAATTAAAGCTTAAGATGAAAAAGATATTAAGAAAAATTAGGCACAAAAAATGATAATACGAAGGACAAATTCAAATTCAAATAGAACGGAGGCAATCTCTTCTTGTACTATTTAGCATTAAAGTATAATTAAGCTTAATTTGACATTATTATTATTATTATTATTTTAAATTAATTAGTAATTTATATTAATAATTTAAATTTTAAGTCCACATATGTTTTTATTATTAAACTAAAAACTCATTAGCAAAGAAAAAAAAAACTTTATCAAGAACCTTAGTGCATAGACAAGCACCTAGCTAGGTTTGATATTAAATAACTTGGGAACTTCTATTAAGCTAACTTTTCGCTTTCAGCATCCCCAAAGTCTAAAATGGAGCTTTTCATTAAAAAACTATCTCTTTTCAAATATTTTGAAATGTTCTTTTAGTATAAGAATTACAACTATACAACTACTATAGCTTTGAAATTGGACCTAATATATATTTTCGATATTTTTATCTTGCTATTGTGCTAAAATATCATTAGCGTAACATGTTCATTTCCTTATTATTATATCAGAAAATATGATGAAATGAATTGTGATGATTTTTTTAAAATATATATACCAGAAGATATTGCAAAAATTTATCATATATTGATGTTAAAAAGACTATCGGTAAACTTTAAATTTTGTAGGTATAAGTAAAAAATTCTTATACTAACGGTCCTACGGATTCCAACTTTGGTGTCTTGAGGAAGGTTAACAATTGCTGATTCCAAATCTTAGTTCTTTTATTAAAAGATGATTTCTCACAGATTTCATGTGTAATTAATCGGTGGTTTAAAAAGGCCTTCCAATTTGATTTGGGTCATAGCTGCTGGATTGAGATTATCATTTTTTGTTTTGGTTGAGGTTATCAGAATTGAACACTGATCACAACTAATGGCATGTAAATACCCTTACAAGTTACAATCAAAAAGAAAAATCATATAACCAGATATGACAATGCTACAAGTTTTCAAGTTCCCAAACTCTAGGCATGCAAAATCCTAATCTGTAATTGACACTGAAGGTCTTTAAATGTGCTTTAACGAGTGAGAAAACCAATGCAAGTTTCTTGACGGGTCTTAAAACACCAGCCTACTTGGTGGTTGCAAGCAAATCACTAGACTCGCATGTGTAAAACTCTGCAGGAGATGAGACTCGAACATGATGGACCATTAATGTTTGGGGCCAGGAATTTCTTTCTATTTTTGCTCACACCATCTATCAGCTCAATTCAACCATGGAAGCATTTTTATGGCAAGAAAAAAAAACAGTTGGCGGCATCATGTTACTATGATGGGGGAAAGCGTTGAGTTATCTCACGTCGGTTATGGAAGGAGTTGGTGATCACTTAATAAGTTTTAAAGAAAACCTTACCTCTTAAGTTGGATTTTGGGCTTGAGGAGACCCAATATCACCTACCAGTGATATCAGAGTCAGATGTCAATGTCTCTTTACGAGCCGGGAAAATTGTTGAGGTTATCTTATGTCAATTGTGGAACAGCTGACGGTCACTTATAAGTGCGAGGGACAGCCTCATCTCTTTAGCTAGCTTTTGGAGCAAAGAAGACTCAAAATCACTTATCAAAGAGCATGAAGAATTGGGGCAGAATGATTCCAGCCCAAAGATGGACTCATATTATCATCACGAAGACCTTTGATTCTTATCAAACGTTAAACACAGCTGCTTTAACTTTCATTCCTCCCATTTTCACATCGCAAACCAGTGGCTTGATGTAGAACAGAGACACCAACGACTAGCGATTCATTAGGCACTCCAGACAGCGGAAGCAACTTAACAAGAATAGACAGCTGAACGATTTGCAATTGCGGTCAGACAGGCAAATTTAAGGTAGAAAATTTTAGACCATTTACAAGCTGGACAAGATCTTGTACCACTGGAGGTTTCAGATCCCCAACTATTCAAGTACATGACAATTTGCTTGAAGATGGAAAAGAAAAATAAGTTTGAGTTAAGTGAATCCAAGCTATATTGAATTACATTTTACATGCAACTTAATAAAACCATAGAACATATGAACAGTGATAGCTTAACATAGAAATGACTCGAAATAGAAATTATATAGTTAACTCGATTGCCTTTAAATAGTCGTCTTGTGCTTAATATATCAATGTTATATATGATTTTAAAAGTTGCCTATAATAGAGAGCTTTGCTTTGGAAATATTGTTATGACATTTTCAAATATTTGACAATCTCTTTTTATTTTTGCAAACTTTGAAAGAGTTTATATTTGATATACTGTCAGTGTATAAATTTTATACATTGTCAATGAATCAGATGATGATAATTTATTAATAAATAAATATCTACCATTAAAATAAATATACACAAATTAATATAATTTAATCATTAATAAGGTATTATCATCAGATTTACTTTATTAATGAATTATCATTATCTGCTTCATTGATAGTGTATAATATTTAAATACTGATAATATATCAAATATAAACTCAAATATGAACGGGAATGGAGACTTTTGGAGAATGAAAAAAGGAATTGGAACAGTGAAAAACACAAAAACTCAAAGAAACACATATTGAATTAGAATAATCAATATTTGACATATTGACTCGTCCTAAGAAAATCAAACATATATAAAATGTTTATGAAAAACACAAAAACTCAAAGAAATACATGTTGAATTAGAATAATCAATATTTGACATATTAACTCATCCTAAGAAAATCAAACATATATAAAATGTTTATGAATATGACAACACAAACTACCCTAGGGCTTGTAATATTATAAATTAGTATGTTATACGTGCTTTGCATAAGACGATTATTGATTAATGGTACTCTTACTTTGTTATTTTTTAGTATATTGTTATAATTTTTTAAAAATTTTCTTTGGTGAGAAATGTTTTTCTTGTTGTGATTTTTAATTTTAGTTTTATTTTTGTCTTGCTTTGTAATTTATTCTTGGATTTTGTTGAAATTGTGTATTTAATTTTCTGGTCACTTGGAAATTTATTTAACCAAATTAAATATTATTACTATTTTATTTTTTTAAATTAATAATATTAGTTTATTAAATAAAAATTTAAAAGATTGCTACTTGACAGTAAATAACTAGCTATATCCTAGTCAGATATGATAATGAAATAACTCCAAAAAACTGTATAGATGCCATTTTTTTGGAAAATAATGTGCAAAAAATTGAAATGAATAATAATTTAGAAGCAAGAAAAGGAAATCTTAACCACTCCAACTTTTAATATATACCCCATTTCACATTGATAATTAAAGCCGGTCAGGTTTGTCCAGCTTCATTTTCGAACCTTCCTGACAATGTTTCAAGATCGATCTCAGATTCGAATGATTTCTGATTCGAATTGTAACAGGTTGAATCGATTTTATGCTTTTTTTTTACAATTTCGGTCTTTGATTTTTTTTGACAATTCGAGTTGATCTGAGTTCGGTCTATCGATTCAAACTGAGTTTTTGAATTCAGATCAACTTTATCAGTTCTAGTTGACATAGCAAAGAAGAAAACAGAACGGGGAATTTTTTGTTTTGAAGTGTAAAATTTCCTGGTAGCTTTCCATCCTTTTCCCATTTTGAACATGAGCGCCGCCACCTCCTTTTATTCCTAAGGCACAGCCTCTATGGTCTATTTATGATCAATCACGATTTAAATGTTGGCCTAATTTTGTTTTGTTATCTAATAATTATTACTACCTTTAATATGGCGGCATTACTTTTAATTGCGATTGAGAAGTTAATCACAATATCCAACAGAATCTAAGAATCATAATGTTCAAAATTTTTTATTTATGAATAAAGTTAACTATTAGTTAACTAAAAAATAATTTGATAATTTATATATTCGTATCGTATAAAATATTAATAATTTATTTATTCGTATTATATTTTATAATAAAATTATAATTTATGTTGATATTAAAATATGAAATATATATTTTAATTTTATTAAATTTATTTATAATTTTTGTTAAAATTTTAAATCGTATTATTTTTATATTTTTTATTTGTATTATTTTAAATTATTATATCTATTAAAAAAGAGGTAAAAAAATTAGGCTCGGCTAATGACCAATAATAGGGTAAGAGTTGAAAAGAAGACAGACAACAAATGAGGATGGATGAATCAAATTTTTTTAACGTTGGATTTTCTTTTGTTTTTTTTATTCAGTTACGGAGTAAAAAGCTAGGTAGGAGGAGGATTTTGCAAATTTTTATCGTCAAGTCTTGCATTTGCGTTCTAGATGAAAGTGAAAGAAAGACTGGGGAAGAAAAATGGAGGAGGACTTTTCATATCCATTTAATATCCATTTCGATTATTTATCTCTTATATTGGATTGGACCGGAGATGTAGGCTACTTCCAATCTTGAATAGATGGATGAATTATAAATAGGGATTGGTGTAAGTAATTAAAATTTAAGATTTATATATAATTTATCTGGTTGAAATTTTTTTGATTTTTTATTGATATATGATTTGTAAATTCAAAAAATTTTGATAAAAAAAATTCATAAAATTTTTTATAGATTGACAGTTTGTCTTGACTTTGAAGATAATTAATCTGTTTTATTCTTAAATATTTTTTGAAAAAAAATCATTTAAATTAAAATTTTGGGATTCAAAATTTAATTCTTCTAAAACAAATCTCAATTTAAAATAAATTAAAAAAGTCTCACAATTTAAAAAATAATTATATAAATTAATTAAATTATTATCTGAATTCGTTCAACACCTATTTTTTATTTTAATTTCCTAGTCTACCTTTGAAACCTCTTAACGCATGTACTCGACTTGACTTAACTAGGGGAAAGAACTGTAGCCACCTACCCAATTGCAGCAACCTTCGTGCTGCAGCTCAGTTGGCAGTTCAATATCAGTTTAGCTTAAACAAATAGACTCCACATAAATCTTTTTTAAAGATTATTAATTAGAAAAACCCATAGAGGGTTTGACTTTGCAGTTTTTTGGACAAGGAAAACATTAAAAAATTAAAGAATAAAAAAAACACAAATTATTGCCTGTATTAAGAAGTTTGTTTAGGATTAATTAATGTAATATAATATGATTAATTTAATCTTTAACCGAGATTACATTAGAAATAAAAAATAATTTTTAAGTGGAATTAGGGGGATAGGGGCCTACTTTATCAAGTTGGCTAACTGGTTAAGATTTCTCATTGTGTCTTCTCTTTCTTTAATGCGACAGAGAAATCGGAAATCTGGAGCAGCCTTGCATTTCAACACTTCTTCCAATTTTTATTTTTTTTCTTTTTTTTTTCAAAAATATTATTTTATAGTTAAAAAAAAATAAAAGAACGAAATTTATTGTTGTTGTCAGTTGATGCCGTCCCCGTAACAGTTGGCTTTGGGGTTTCACAGGAGAAGGTATCATCCTTCTCTGGCTGTTTCAACCTGCAGCTGCTTCGCTACTACTCTTCCTCCCTGTGACCGCCCTTTCGCTTCTGCCTCCACTTCTTCCGTCGTTATGTCTCCTGAAGCTTCGATGCTTACCCGCCGAGCTGCTCTCATTTTCATCGTCGTCACTCTTTCCACTTTGCTTCTTTACACTAATACGGATTCCCTCCGCTTCCTGCGTTTATCGTCAAGTTCCCTTTCTTCTTCCTCCTTCTCTAGTATTCCTTCTCCGGTTGGTTCTCTCTCTTTAACTCTAAAAACAATCCAAAGAATATCCCCGAATAAATTTACGTTCAAAGTTTTTTTCCTGCAGAATCCCAATCAACAGCTTGAAGAAGTTTTGAAGAACGCTTCCATGGCGAATAAGACTGTTATTTTGACGACTTTAAATGACGCCTGGGCGAGTCCCAATTCGGTTGTTGATCTTTTCCTTCAGAGCTTTACGCTTGGAGATGGCACACAAAGGCTGTTGGACCATTTGGTGATTATTGCCTTGGATGAAAAGGCATATAATCGCTGTCGAATTGTACATAAGCATTGCTTTGCTCTTGTCACCGAGATGTCAGACTTTTCATCAGGAAGGCATACTTTATGACCCCACGCTACTTGAAAATGATGTGGAGAAGGATTGATTTCCTGCGATCTGTCCTTGAGTTGGGTTATAGTTTTGTTTTCACGGTATTTGCCTTGACACTTTCAACAAAACTTAATCTTATTAATTTGACAAAGCTTGTTCAATTTGTTGCTCACATGGTGTTCTTTTAGACACGATAATTCCTGTATTTGTATATGTTTATTTTTTGTTAAATAAGTATAAAATATGAAAATTATTATATTATAGTTTGTGTCATGTACCAAACACAAAACAAATTTTTTTGTTTTTTCTAACTTTATATGTATAATTTTTATTAAAAATTTAAAGTGTGTCATTTTAATATTAATCTGTTGTGTTTAAAATTATCAATTTACCTCTTTCTTTTAGAGTTGATTCTTCCTATTTATGTAGCCTGATATCTAACTGAAAGGTTCTGTGTTCCCATGGTGCGTGCTCTATTATTTTGAGAACAAAGTCAATAAATACAAGAAGCAATTTTTGTGAATAAAATATTTGAAAACAATTTTCTGCTTTTAGAATTGGTTGAAATCGTTTAAGCTGAATTGAAAGCTTTCTTCGGTCCAACAATCAGAAGAAAATTGGTTGTTACTGAAGGATGCACATCATATGAGCTTGGGGGCTGTGCTGTGGTGTAGCCTTAAGTATCATTTGAGGAAATGCTTAAAGCATCATCAAGAAATAATGGATATGAAACTTCCTAGCTAGAGCAATAAATAATATATCAAACTTTCTATATTGTCCTTCGGAGCAATAAATAATAGATATGATTAATGCCTTTTTTGATGGTTTACTTCTCCAGGATGCTGATATCATGTGGTTCAGGGATCCATTTCCACGGTTCTTTCCTGATGCTGACTTCCAGATTGCATGTGACAATTTTTTTGGCAGACCTGATAATATGAATAACAGACCCAATGGGGGATTTAACTATGTAAAGTCTAATAATCGGTCAATAGCATTCTACAAGTTCTGGTATTCTGCACGTGAAACTTATCCAGAATATCATGATCAGGATGTTCTGAATAAGATCAAGTCTCATCCTTTCATATCAGATATTGGACTGAAGATTAGATTTTTGGATACAGCTTATTTTGGTGGTCTTTGTGAGCCTAGCAGAGATTTGAATGTAGTATGCACAATGCATGTAAATTGCTGTTATGGTATGAATAATAAGCTTCATGATCTCAAAATTATGCTTCAAGATTGGAGAGCTTTCATGTCATTGCCACCAGATCTGAAGAATGAATCCATTATCTCCTGGAGGGTCCCTAAGAATTGCAGGTACTCTTGCAGTCTAAATCTGGACCATTTTTTTTCCAGCAAAATCTACAACTTTTTCCTAAAAATTTTTTTTTCTGTTTTTTCAACTGGTACAGACTCTAACGCCATTAGGGTTCCCCAACTCCAGAGATGGATGTTCAACCAGAGGAAGATGATTGATTGGAATTGTACATATGCTTAAAATATTTACTGTCAAAAGATAATGAGAGGGTAAGCTTTCTGTTTCCTCTTCATTTATGTAATAATTCTCATTTACGCACTGATTTGATGATAGTGACCTTACATATTGTCTACATAGAAGAGTTTCGGGATTTTGGTTAATTTTTGGAGTCCAACCTTATGTCATTTAGTAATTTTGATGGCATGCCAAACTTAAAATGCTATTGATAACGAGATATGGAAATAATATTAAAAAAAATATAAAAGTTATACGAATTAAAATTTTAATAAAATCATATATGATTTTAATAAAAAAAATATAAATTATAAATTATGACACATAATTTTTTAATAAATATTATATGAATACGTAAATTATTAATATTTTATATGATAAAAAAAATACAAATTACCATATCTGCTCCGACAATCTATCATTGTTTGTGTAGCCCAACATTCTGTCATTAAGTTTGCTTTGGAGAACAAATCTCCATGAGTTGGTAAAGATACTTGTTCTTAGGCGTATATGCCTAAACTAAATTCACCATCCTCCCTATATTTTCCTTTTTTTTTTTTTGAATTAAATCGATATTTATCTTCTACTATAGTAAACTAGAGTTGGGTTGGGTATAGTTTGAGGTTTGGGCTGAAGCTCTTTTGTCTTTTTAATTGATTATCAACTAGCAAAATGGGCAAAATCAACAGTTGTTTGAGTCAATTTGACCCAATTAACCAGCAAGAAGAATTTGATGGCCTAGTTGAACCAAATAAATGTCACAGGGCTTAATCACACCTTGAATCACTGTTTCAAGGGCCAAATTGACCGTTTTTGTCCAAGTACATAATTTTATGCTTGAACAGAGCATGCCCTGGATATGGTTCCGATGTGGACATGAATAGATACCATTATATCCCCTTGTGTGCCCCGCAGATATCATGACATCATTGTTGTTGGTAACATTTAAACTTGCAACCATGCCATTGAGGTCCTATGTTCAAAAATGATATGGTCAAAGCTTGTAGTAACACAATATTGCCACAGAAAAAGGGTAGGCCGCTGATATAAACAAAATTAAGTTTTGATGTAATTTTAACAGAAAATTACTAACATATCTTAACAGCTCAAATGAAACTCATGCCAGATCTGCACTCAAATTTCCTTCAATCATACCTTTACCCCCTGTACCATTCATAGCTTGCAAAATTGAAGTTATGACACTGTAACCAGCTCCAAATCCAAGTTTTGCTACTTGCTACTTTCCATGATCTGCACAAGTTTGCATTCATCTTAGCAGTGAAATCTTATATTTTGGGAACACGAAACTTATCTCTCTTTCAATGGCATTTTGCAACAAAACCGTAATAGAAAGCCTTACTAACAAAACAACATTGATAGTAACATAACTTATTAACTTCCAATGAGCTCTACCAATTGGAACATGTGTAAGTAAGCAAATTAAAACCTACCCAGTTACCAAAATCATGCCTAGTGCAAACCAGAACCTTTAAAAACTAAAACAAAATTTAAAAACAATTAAAGGGGCGACTTACCAAAATCTCAAAGAAGACGTTTGAAAAGGCGAGTCCAAGCCAAATTCAAGCACACCTTTCCTAGCGAGAACCAATGGCAATCACTTCCACTACTTCACTATTTTCCTCCCTATTGTTTCCATACCCATTTAATGGGCTAGATTGTTTCTCCGTACTCACTGAAATTCTAGCAAGAGACCTCGAGTTATAACTTAATCTTTAACAACAAAAACCTTGGGGACCAAAGAAGGAATTGAAAGAAGCAGGCTTTGAAGATAGCAGGAACCTCCCTTGAAGAAGAGGGCTATTTTTGGTAAATTTTTTTGTAATGAAGCTCAGGCCCAACAAGTTGAGCTACAGGGGTTGGTTGAACAGCCATGAATAAATAAAAAGCATATTCTATGCTATAGAGTATATGTAGAACAAAAAGTGGGTAATGTTTTTATCTTCAAATGCATGTAAAAAGAAACAGATGATTTTATATGAAAAAAATGATATAGGGTTGATTTTATATATGTTTTTAATGGAAATTATTGAAAGAAATAGACAAAGAATGCTCATGTGGTTTGGTTACACAATGAGGTAAGCTCCTTGTCCATTAATGGCTGAAGTCTATAATCTACTTTAAGAATTCATCCCTAATGCTACACTTTCTCCAGCACTTACCTCTCCCTTGCATATAATTGGGTGATTCAACTCAAGTCTCTTGATCCATTAGCAAAGCAAATTGTTTTGCTTGATTAATTTCTTCAATGAAGCAAAACAATATTTGTATCATTTAGTTTCTTCAATGCCATCAGCCAGCATCTTTGAATCCTCAACGAGTGTGCCTTCCAACTTTTGTCATCTCCCTACTACGTAAGTTGGTACACCAGTGGCTTTATATGGGGTTTCGAAGAAGCTTCCGTTGCTTTCTCCTTCATTTCTTGACCATCAGAGTGTTTTGTCTTTGTCATGTAAAAGCTCACTGTTTCATTTAGGCTACCCGGCTCATGGGCCCGCAGTTTCGGCCAGGGGATTACGTCCATACATCATTTCCTTTGAGCCTTTAACGCCTTGGTAAGATATTTAAATTAAGAAAAAAAAAAAAAAACTATCCGCAGAGTAGCTTTAATCAGCAAATTTTTTTAATCAACCAAAACAAAATGTCATAACTAATAGGAATAATTAAGAAACAGAGATGTGGCAAGAAAAAACAATAGATCGCATGAATTCGAAATTTAATTTAATTAATTCATATAAATGATATTTAATAAGATTTAAAATTTAATATTTATAATTTTTTTTATTTGCTAAAAAAATAAACCAAGCGAACAAAACAAAACAAAACATGTCTAATATTCTAATTGAAACAGAGCATTATGCCTCCCAGTTGATATAAAATTCAGTTAAAACAAGTCAAGCGAAACACGCAATTCAGTGTTTGGGTATGTTGATGACAATTAATTTTGATTTAAAAACCTAAATCTGTCATGATGTTACCCAAAGTTCTAATGTATCCATCCTTCATCTATATCTTTTTTAAAGGAAAAAAAATAAATCGGCTATAGAGTAAATTTGCTATACAAATGATTATACATACTTAAAACACAAATTTATTAAAACCAACTAGTTTCAGCTTAACGAGAAGAAGGGGTTTTATTATGCATGAATTTGATCTAATTTTATGTTTAATTTGTCAAATTATATATTAATTTGTTAATTGATTGATTTAATTTACAAATTTTTTTATGAATATAATATTTGATTATTATTGAATATTACAGTTTTTCTTGTGCTTATAAATTCATAAAAAATATCATTGGAGAAATTTAATTAAAGAGATTTAGGATTTAAATGGAATAATTGAAAGATTAGAGATCTAAATTAAACTTTAACCATGAAAAGATTAGAGACTTGTGGTGCATTTTGCCAACAAATCCTTCTTATCATACTAATATTTTTTTCATAAATGTTCCCCTTTCGTCTCGAAAACATGGGAGTTAGAAATTTTAGTGACGGTTTAGTTTTACGAAACATTTTTTTAATTTTAATTTTTTTATTGAAAATGTGTTTGATAAATAAAAGATAATATAATTTTTAAAAATGAAAATATTAAAACTGTGTTTGGTATTGCTATCTTGTATTGGAAAAACTAATAAAAATGTACAGATCCATGATTTAATTTTTCATTTTCTATAAAAATTTTTTTAATCATCAAACATAGTTCTACATTCATTTTCTTTATTTTTTTCCCAAGAAAATAAAAATGAAAAAGAGCTCTATTGAAACCAAAAAGAGCCTCATGTTTACTTAAATTGCTTTTCAAGGGGAAAATTTTCAATTCATGAATTTTGAGTTAATGAAATATAACTTTTTCTCATATTATAAATAGTTTGGAAATTTTATTTTTAAAATCACAGTTTTGTAGATCAAACTTAAAACTCCAAACTAAAAATTTAAAATTATTGAAATTAATTGCAGCCTGGGGTTTAAATTTACATTAATTACAGCCTCAAAGCGTAATTTATTACAACCAAAGTTTTACTGTCTCATCAAATCTTAGGAATAATAATACTTGACAACGAGGTTCACGGTTTTGGTTAAGCTATCATCATTGTTTTAAAGAATGAAAATTATGGCTGTTGCTTATATTCCTTTTCTGAAAAAAATAAAATAAAATAATAAGTCTTATTCAAGACTTAAATTTCACCTTTCACTTTTTTAATACTCTTTTTGTCCTATTTTTTGTTTATTTTTTAAAAATGTCTTAAAATTATATTATTTTTCTTTTTTTTTAACATATAAAATTTTTATTATTTTTTTTAAAATAATATTTTATGATATTAAAAATTATAAAATTTAATTTTATAAATTTTTAATTTTAATATTAAATGCATTAAAATTATTTTCTTTAAATTTTATAAAAATCAATACTAGACAAACAAATTAAGAGTGAAGGAGTATACGAATTCCTTTTCTCATTCTCTTTTTAATTCTTCCATGCTTTCTTTTCACGGTATATCCATGGCGGCTGTCACTTTAAATAGTAAAAGGCCAATGATATTAACAAGTTAGTAGTCTATAACTAGATAATTAAAAAAAATTGAAGGCTTTTATTATTTTTGTTATTTAAATTTTTGAAAAATTACGAGAATATTAATTTTATTCTTAAAAAAAATGTAAATGAATCTGAGGTTTTCCTTTTTTTTAATTTATCACTTAGTAGTTGGATTAGGTCTTTTCCTTGGGTTTTTTTTTTATTATTATTATTATTGTGAAATTTCCAACATAGAATAACTGAAATACCCTTTTTATTTCTTGATGTGACATCGTGGTCACACAGCAATGGAACCAAACTGGATTAAGCTGAACCCAAGTGGGGAAAGTCTTGTCCATCCTGCTTTTGCCTTTTGCATGTTCAGAAAAACCAAATAAAAGCTCACTACTGCTACGTACAAGAACAAACCACACTCTCTTCTCAGTTTTATGAGCTTAGTTTCATCCAACAAACTTCGAATCAATTGTTTGTGTCAGATGTTTTCACCTAGTTTAATTTTTTTCTCATTTGCAAAAAACCCAATTTAGTTTTTTCTTTTAGGGATTGAAATTTCTTTCTTTTTTTCTGAAATGATTTTTCTTACAGTGAGGCCCAGTGGGAGAAATGGTGATGATAGCAAGTTTGTCTGAAAGTGAGTAAGAAATACGAAATAGGAGAGAAAGAGCAAGAGAGAGAAGGAAGGTAAAGGCTGCTGCTCTCACGCACCATCCTATGTCGTTTTGCGGCTAATGGATTGGGTCCACCGACCTGCAGGCCTCACCTTCTTCTCTCATCTCTCTACTCTTTTTTCTCTCTCTCAAACTCATTTAATTTGATTTTGTAATTTGAAAGAAATGAGCAAAATCAGGTAAAAAAAAAAGAGGGTTAGAGCAAAAGAATTTAATAAAAAGAAAGAAAAGGAAAATCTGCTGAGAGGGTGTATATGTGTTAGTGTATCTGCATGACACCAAATCAGAGAAGAAACATCATTTTGTTCACAATTTGGCATTTAAAAGGAAGTGAAAGAAACAGTAGAGAAAAGAAAGAAAAGCAGCAAAATGTCCATAGGTTAGATTTTGTTTTGATTTTTCTCCTTTCTCTTCAATCTTCATCTTCCTTTGATTTTAGATATTTGCCTTTTTAGGATTTTCATCAATCAATTCTACTCATAAAGCTCGAATCCCCCCTTTCTCAGCTTTTTCAGATAAGTTTTCATAGGAACACCAACAAATTTCAATGTGGGGTTGCTGTTAGATAATTGATAGAAGTGAATAAGAAAACAGCAAGAGGCTTTTGTTTTTGCTTAAAGATGGCTGCATCTTCCTCCTCAGGGCCTTTCTTTGGAATTAGAGAAGAGGATCAAAACCAGATGAAGCAACAGCATTCTTCAACACCAACTTCATCGACAGGGCCAGCTCCACCGCCGCCTCAGAAGAAAAAGAGAAACCAACCTGGAACACCAAGCAAGTATCCAATTTTTATCTAATTATATATATAATTAGATTCTACTAATTAATCTAACCAAAGATATATATTTCACCAATTCTAGTAAAGAGAATTCATTTCAATTTTATGTCAAGCTTCCTTTCCTTATATATATATATATATATATATATATATATATACGTAAAGAAAGAGAAGAAAAAACACAGGGAAACCCTAAATTCTGAAGCTTATTGAGTGGAAATGACATAGGGAATTTTTTTTATCATCCAAAAATTTTCCTCCTTATTGTAATTAATCAAATTTAGAATTTTGTAATGATTTGTCATTGTTTGGCATTATTTTATTATGATAACAGATCCAGATGCGGAAGTGATAGCACTATCTCCCAAGACTCTAATGGCAACAAACAGGTTCATTTGTGAGGTATGCAAGAAAGGGTTCCAAAGGGAGCAAAACTTACAGCTCCACAGAAGAGGACACAACCTGCCTTGGAAGCTAAGGCAGAAGACTACAAAAGAAGTGAAGAGGAAGGTTTATCTCTGCCCTGAGCCCACTTGCGTTCACCATGATCCGTCCAGGGCACTTGGCGACCTCACTGGCATCAAAAAGCATTACTCAAGAAAGCATGGTGAGAAAAGATGGAAGTGTGAGAAGTGTTCCAAGAGGTATGCCGTGCAATCCGATTGGAAAGCTCATTCGAAAACCTGTGGCACTCGAGAGTACAGATGTGACTGTGGCACTCTCTTCTCAAGGTAGTTAATAATATTTCTGCAATCTATAATCTATGATCGTTCCTTCACATTTTCCCATTAAACCCTTTTTTTTTTTTTGCGTATAGCATGACGCAATTAATTCTCCATCTTCTCTTGTTTTGTTTGGTTTAAGGCATCGATAACACAACAGGCTCTTCCTACGGCTTATGTGCCTTATTCCCACTGGCACAGGAGAAAGGGAAGAGGCGTTATAATTTCTGCTTGGCCTTATTTGGTTAGGGGATTAGATTCCTTAGGTGACAAGGGATGGAAAAGTTTGATGCTTTTTTATCTCTTTTCGTTCCGTTTTCTTTCAATCGAGTCTCTCTCTTTCGTCCCATTATCCCCCTTTTTTTCTTTGATTTTTCAAGTTCAAGTGGTCAAGATGGTGAATACAGAAAACAAACATGCTTCCACGTGAATAATCAGTGGAAACTGCCATTGGCAATAAGGTTCTTGGCTTCTATCCACCAAACAATTTAAACCCCCCCTTAAAAAAATAATGAAAACAGTTAATCTTTTGTTTTTCCTTCGAACCACCGCCCTTTTTCGTTTTTTACTTTTTCCCTCTTCACGTGCTGCTATGCCATGTAGAGTTTTTTCTGTGTTGTTGTTACCATGTTTGTTCTCTTGCGGGTTGGCTAGACGTGTTCAACTCTGTGCTCTTGCAGGTATCCCTTTTCATGGTAACATTAGCCTCTAAACTCTTACCAACCTTCTCTCCCTCTCTCTCTTAATCCCCCACCGAGGTTCTAGTTTTGAAGCTGTGGTCTTTCCCCGTAGGGAATTGTAGCTTCAACCGTGGGAGGCTAGCTTGAGCCTGAGAGAATTGTTTGATTTAGGAATTCAAAAAGCAAGAAAGAAAAAGTGAAAACCCGGTAGCTTTCTTAACTTCTTGTTTTAGAAAACGATTCTTAACCGGAATATTTCTTGAGTTTTGCATTAATTGAAGACAACATCCCCAAGTGGGCTTCTTGATTGATCACTTTTCACTGGGTTGAACACCTTCTCTTGTCGCATTTATTGGACATCCAATTCTTGAAATGGCAGTTCATATGTATTGATTAATCACTTTCAAGTTTTAGTGAAATTCTTGTGACCTACCCTGCTTTTTTTTTTTCTATTACCATTGAGCATTGATGCATGCTAATCTTTTTTTTGTTGCTTGAGGTTTTCTAAACTTTTACATTTTCTTTTATAACCTTTCCTGTTGTTCTCCCACCCCTAATACTTCTCAGAGAGTAAATCTGACTTGGGACACCCCATGCAAAATAGGGCTGCTTTTCAATGTAAGACTTTTTTTACCTTACATTTTGGGCCAGAATAATAACAAACAGAAAACAATAGGAGAAAAATCCAAGATTTAAATTGTGGTCGCTGCCATGTTTGCATTGCATCTATTACGATTGGGGACATCATTGATTAATTAGCTAATGAAATTATTTATCTTAATGATTTGTTTAGGTAGCTAGTCATAACTAAGATTAATTGATTGAATTTTCCTCTCCACAAACTAACTTTCAAAATCCTATAATTTGATGTACTAAACATAGCAGACACGGGTTGCTGTTCAAATTTTGTTTTTAACTCTCTCTTCAAACCGTGTCCTTTTATTTTGTTTTTCATAGCTACTATCTGTCAGCGGCTTATTCCTTCTATTATAACTGCTGCAGGCGTGACAGCTTTATAACTCACAGGGCATTTTGTGATGCACTGGCTCAGGAAAGTGCAAGGCACCCTCCTTCCTTGAACCCCATTGGCTACCATTTTTATGGAAGTAGCAATACAAGCTTAGGCCTATCTCAAGTGGGAACTCAAATTTCATCGATACAAGGCCAGAATAATCAGACTGGTGACATTTTAAGACATGGTGATGGCGGCAGGAGTACCCAATTTGATCATCTTCTCTCTCCATCAATGGGATCGTCGTCTTCGTTTCGACCTCAACAACCCATGGTTTCTTCAGCTGCTTTCTTAATGCAAGAGTCTAACCAAAATTTCAATCAAGAACATCAACCTCAACAAGGATTGTTGGGAAACAGCAAATCGTTCCAAGGACTAATGCAGTTTCCTGATATGCAAAACAATACAAGCAACCCTCCTTCAGCAGCCAATCTATTCAATCTTAGCTTCCTTTCCAATAGTAGCAACACAAGCATCATCAATAACAGCAACAATGCCAATGCAGACAACAATTTAACATCTTCAGGTTTGCTAATCTCTGATCATTTCAACAATGAAAACGTTGGCGGCCGTGGGACAAGCGAAGCGTCAAATCTCTTCTCAAACAACATAATGGGCGATCAAATCACCTCCAACATCCCTTCTTTCTTTACGTCATCGGTTCAAAACAATAATATGGTACCCCAAATGTCCGCAACCGCATTGCTTCAAAAAGCTGTTCAAATAGGCTCAACTTCAAGCAACAACAACAGCGCCACTCTTCTAAGAAGCTTTAGCACTTCCTCAACCGGAACCAAATCCTCAGACTTTGGAGGCATTTTGGGAGATAGTACCGTGAAAAACCTACATGAACTAATGAACTCCCTGGCAAGTGGTAACTCCTCCATTTTTGGAGGTGGGTTTGGAGGAGTCAATACATATAGCACTGCACAAGGACTAGAAAGCCCTTACTTAAATAGAAATAGCATGGAACAAGAAAAGCAGCAGCAGCAGAAGCAAAATTTAAATGTTAGCGTTGGTGGGTCAGATAGATTGACTAGGGACTTCCTTGGGGTCGGGCAAATGGTCAGAAGCATGAGCGGAGGAGGGGTTGCACAAAGGGTGCAACAGTCGCAGCAACAGCAAGAAGGAATGGGATTAAGCGCCTTGGGTTCAGAGAGAAATACAAATACTACTGCGCAGGCGGGCCACCAATCTTTTGGAGGAGGTGAGAGTTTTCAGTGAAGAAGAAAAAAAAGGGGATATAAAGAAAGTACAAAGGTACGTAAAATATAATATTATATTATATTTTATAGGTTTTGAATTTCATTGGTAAATGTGTCTTTTGCTTACTGTATTTTTTTGTTTTTGAATTCTCTGACATATTGTGTTGCATGGGGCAGTCGTGAGTTGTAGTACATATGTGTTTTGTTTATTTTCTTGTCTGTTTGTTTTTTTATTTTATGGGCTGGCAGCACCACGAGCGCTTCTCTCTCATATTCATCCACATCTTCTAATTATTAATTATTAGTCTCTTGAGCATAGAACCTTATATTCGCCAACAATCCTTGGCTCATCGGCATGAGGTTTTGGCATTTGGGAGGGTTGCCCGAGTTCGAGGCTATTACTATAATGTCTTTAACGCTTTATGAAAAGTTATCAAAAGTCATTATAGAAGAATGCATTAAATAAAATCGATAAATCAATTCCGCCTTGTGTTCCTAGGCAGCAAATTCATATTTAAAGCAAACAATGCAATTTATAAGTCTTTCCCTTTTTGGTCTATTGGTAAAAAAAGCCTTAAGAAAAATATTAGAACTTGATCTCTTTTTTTTCATGTAATAAGGTATTGTCCTCATTTGAATAAAAAAAAATTATTCATTGAAATTTATTCCTAAAAAAACATGGGAAAATTTTGATTCTTTTTCTTATTTGCATATAGTCAAATTGTTTACTACCAAAACCCACTTTTCTTTTTCACCAAAAATTTAAATTCTTCATTGGATTCATGGCAAATGATTGATTATACATGAAGATTGAGGAATATTGGTAAATTCATGGAAAATTTAAATTCTTTAATTTCCACGCTGGGTCTCATGGCTAATTAATTGCATGTCTACAACTTTTATTTATCTCTCTAATCCATTTTGATACAAGAAGGGACCATTTAATTTGAACATGAAATCTGTATTCAAATGTCATCTCATTTAGCTTTGGGCTTGAGTTAAACTTAATTAAGTCACTTCTCTCTTCTATTATAGTAATCATATAAAAATTAAGAGATGTAATTTGAACTTAATTATTAGCTAGATCGAAATTGTTTTTGGAGATAAAACTGCGGTTAGTAGTCATAAATCAGAGGTAAGAAAACAACCAAAAGCATCTTGTTTGTTATCACAGAAATGACAAAGAGGAGCTCTACCATGCATGAATAAAATTTTTTCCCACCTGCTGCATGCATTCTGACTTTCATCCCCTTTCAGATTTGTCTACTTATCAGATAAGAATAAAAAAGAAATAGAAGAAGAACTTGATGATAATGATAATGATGGTGATCACATATTGAGTTGATCTCTTCTCTTGTCATATTATGTGTATTTGATACAACAAAATTGTTGCATGCATGCTTGATTATTATTGTGTGTTGAATTTTCCCTGGTGTTAGGGCTGCTCGCCATGATCTTCTTAATTATTAATTGTGCTTTTTTTTTTTGTTGCAGATATTGTTCCATGGCAAGGCCTTTTTTGCTCTTCTCCAGTGCTTTTTATTTTCAATACATCAAGTGACCAACCTGGAGAAGTGGAGGCCAAAGGGAGGGGGGGTCATGATCAAGTGTGCATCATTCAGCAAAGGCAGCTTAACCCCCCTAAAGTCCAAGCAGTATGAAAACTTTCTTTCTTCCCTTCTTTTTTTTTTCCTCCCTTCAACTGTTAATGTGAATGAGTTTCTAATCAGTTCCAAGCTACAATCTTTTTATCTTAATTTGGATGTTGACTTTAGCCAAAAAAATCGTTCCTTGTTTCCTTTTCAATTAGTTCAATTTAGTTCAACAATAGTAGTTATACTTATATGTTAGCCAGACATCTTTGTAGAATAAGGATCGTTTTCTTTTTCCTCCGGATTTGCTCTCAAACCAAGACAATTTTGTTCTATTAGCCCTTGAGACTACACAAACGGATCTTGAAATTTATGTAGTTATCCTGTTTTATACTTGAAAATAATCATGGAGTAGCATTTCCTTGTTCCCTTTGCTCAAATTCTTTAAAAGAAAAAAAATTAGATTGCTTATAAATATCTTAACTAATAGACTCATAATCGAACATTTAACATACACATATAAACGTACATAAAATTAGTGTAACATTATGTGTTACAATTTTTTTTTAAATAGTATTTTTATGGTGTTGGTTTGCTACACCCTTGATTTTTGGTGGGATCTTTGGTTCATAGCTTTCATTTTTTATTTTTGTTTCTCATGTATAGTGGATCATACTACAAGAAAATTGCTCTATACTGACGCTCAAAAAATCATCAGTAAAACTTAAAATTTTATCGGTATAGCATAATAAACTTTATACTGACGGTCAAAATATTTATTTCGACGAATTTCTAACAATTAGTATATATCTTGTCGATATAAACTTGTACTGACAGTTTTAGTCCGTCATTATATGTATAGCTATTGGTATAGCAACTATTGTGTATTGCGCATTATATCTTTTACTGACAATTATTTCCCATTAGTATATACTTGTATATTTTAATTTTTTTCAACCTATACTGACGGTGGATTTGTCAATATATCTTTTACCAATAGTCAGTGCCCGTTAGTATAGCCTTATGTGTTTTAACTTTTATCGATGGTTTATTCATGATAACTGTTAATATAGCTTGAAATATTCTAATAGTAAAACCCATCGATGAAAACTTTTGTTTTAATTATATTTTTAATTATTAATATTAATTTATTTATAATCATAATATGATATAGTTTCATATAAAGTAAAAATACACAAAAAATAGAAATATTTAATAACATTTGAAATAAAACAACAACCAAATTGTTTTATACTCCATAAATGTAAAATAAGTTAAGAACTAATGTCATTGCACCAAATCTAGAAAAAAAATAACATTAATATTTATGATTGAATGTCTACAAATATGATGCTTGAAGTAAATAAACAACTCTCCAAAGTAAGAGGTTCTATCATAGATTTCTATAAAGAAGCATCTGCGTAACATAAAATACACAATTAGATAATTAAGGTAAAAGCAAAAATAATTACTGTAATTCTAAAAATGATTCAAACAAAAAATTTATCTGAGTGTGATTTGTATTTTTCCTAGCATCCATCTAGGTCCACTATGATAACAACCCTTCATAATTTTTTATTTATATTTGTTTCTTTGTTTCTTTTCTTTTTTATTTTTACATGTAATAAAGCCATATGAGAGGAACAAAAATATGATCCCACATATAAAAACACTGTTAACAATTGGTAAAGATCATTGAACCAAATTGCATCATATAAGAAATATGAGAACAATACAATGAAAAGCAACAATTATATACACATGAGAAATGGAAAGCAATGAATTAAATTTTATTGTATTATTCTTTCATTTACCTTTACATACACATAATAAGCATAATGCAGTGAATTAGATTCTATAATATTGTTCTTGCAACAACCATCACTTTATCTCTACTTGTTTGGATGAACACCAACACACAATTGCAACAAGCACAAAATATTCGATACACATATAAATGTGTTTTCCTGGATTACATATAAAAAATATGTTGCATATGCAATCCTTGAAAGAAAAACAATTTCTCTAGCTAGTAATAGAAGAAAACACTAAGCTGTCTAATGACTAAAAAATAAATCAACCCTAAGTAAACATAGTTTTCGGTTTATATCCACTCATATAATAGTCAATTGGCACATAATTATAACAATGATAGATTTTAACAATTATATGATTCAAAACCTAAATTCAAACACTGATTTTGGCATTTTATCTAGAAACCAAGTATCAAGCAAAGCATTTCCACATATATATCATATGATGATGAGTTTATCATTTCATTTTGATTAGGTTGATGAGTTAAATTTAAAGATTGATAGTTTTCATGTGTGATTTCTGGAGCATTACGAGCATAAAAAACCTAAAAATAATTCAAAATAAAATTGAATAAGGTTCAAGATTCATTATCAAGATGACAAGTTACATATATATAAACTAAAATAGATGTTATATATACCTCCTATTTGTTATATGAGCAACAATATTCAAGACGTCTATATTTTTATTTGAACATTATTTTTAAAGTAATGATAAGACGGTGCTTAAAGTTTTTTTTAAGTCTTTAATTTCAATATTCAAATCTTGTACCTCTTTTTTATGTTGTACCAATTTAAAAGATAAAGAGCCATATTGTTTAGATGAAGTAGATACTGTACTTATACAATGAACATGCTCTTTTCTCTTTAGCCTTTTAACTTTTGAATAAACATCATTTTTCTACAAATTACCTTCAGAGTTTTAAGCACTAATTTCACTCAAACCTTTTTTCATGAGTTTTTAAAATTGTAAACAAATATTTTAGTACAAATAAACTAAACATAAGTAAAAACAAGTATAATCTAAATCAACTACCACAATTTTAGCTGCCTTGGCATTCATAACAATTTCATCTTTATGTGTATAAGAAAGTATATACACTTCAGCATGTGATGATGGAATTTTGTTAGCATCTTGTTTCTATAAAGGTATAAATTAATTATTGTAATGACAAAACCACGCATATAAAAAGTAAACTTCATATTCATTTAACTAAATACCACAAAAAAAATTTATATATGTACCAAGCTTTGAATAATCATCGAAAATGATTTTGTTCCTGTGCAATGAGACTCATCTTATTTTGAACGATTTGTTTTATTTGTCTCACTTTGTTTCTTTAAACAAATGATCAAGAAAATATGTATTATAATAGCTCATTATTATATCATAGTGTTAAAACAAAGTAAATACCTATATTTTGTAAACATTTACCTTTGCTTTACTAGTCAACCAATGTATAACAAAAAACATGAACTAATCTTTTTCTACTTAAAAATCATCAACCTTTGAAACCATTTCTTTTGGTGTCTTGTGTTTATCATAAAATTTATACTTCAATTTATTCTTCCATTTAGCAGCCATGTATCTTATTACTTAAAACTTAATTTTTTGAATTATTTTTTCATCAACGCATTCGTCAGAATCAAACTTGTGAAATTTAAACTTTGACTAAAATTTTAAAAAGATAATTGAAAATAAAATGTTAATATATCTAATGAATTGATACTATTAACTAGAAACTAAGATTATTGTCATAGCATTAACTAGCAAGTAAAATATTATCATATTGATACCTCTAATATTTTTCACATTTTTTTTTGTATCATCTGACATTTCATACTAATTTGTATAACTAATTGGAGCAAAGCTATGCATTCTCACCATGCTACCAATGAATCGAGTTAAAGAGTAAGATTCATCATCAATAGGTACAGCATCATTATTAACCTTAACAAAACATGCTCTTCTTCTTCCAAATCTCAAATATCAGCCATACGTGTAGGACCTCAAACTTTTTCACATTAAACGTTTTCTACATAGAAAAATTACATGCAAAAACAACAATTTAATTCATTAAAAAATTTAAGTGTATAACAATATAACGCGTAAAGATTTATAGTAACAGAATATAATGTTTCTATACCTGAATTATGTTTTACTTGTTCATTTTGATTTTTACTATTTATAGATTGAGAAATTGGTTCTTAAGATTCTTATAAAGGCTCATGTTATGAAGGCTCTGATTCTTGCGACACATGTTCTTCAGATTATGTTTGCAATTGAAAACTAGAGGCACGATTTGCCTAGTGATATTCAATCATCTATGCTTTGCCATCTTAAGTTTAATAATACAAAAAATTAACTAAATACAATATAAAAGAGAACTTGATTGTGGCAAACCATATAAGAATTAAGTACAATTTAATAAATAACTTGATCATTTATAAAATTAAGTAATTCAAGCTAGTAACACAAAAATAAAGTAATAGTAAACTATGTCTTACATTACAAAACCTTTACATAAAGCTAATCTATTATATAGAATTAAAAAATGTCCTTCCCATTATCTTCATCCATGGGATTTTCTTCTACATGCTCATTTTTTATTTTCAGTGTGACTTTAACTCTTTCATCATCAATATGACTTCTGACCCAAATTTGAAATACTATGTATATCATCAAATTTCACATGAATTTATCCATTTCCTTGGTTTTTATACATGGATGATTCATCACCCATATCAAATATATATTTAAGTTTTGCATGCTTAATAGGAACCCAACCATTATGTCTTTCATCATTAACAAAAAAACTTTCTTAGCTTATGATGCTAAGACAAAAAGATCATAAAGCAAATTAGTTTCACTATAAGCTAGATGTGAAAAATTCACAAAAGTGAAATTAAACTTATCTTTCTTGCAACCTTTATTTATATCAATCCAATTATATTTAAATAACTCATCTTTAAATCTATCAGTATAATTCAACTAAATGATGTCTTTTAAAATCTTATAATAGCTAACTTCCCCTTCAATAGGCTGCATATCTCCTGTTCTTGCATAACTCATTATCTTAGTTATTACAATAACTCCACTGTTTTGAGTTTTTAAGTATATCTTACGTGTCTTGGTATGAAATTTAAAATCATTAACAATATAACTAGTGTATTTCCTAGCAGTATCTGTTGGACCATGAGCAAACCATTTAAGTTATTCTGTGATATTTGCATGTCTTTGTTGATCCAAATTTGTCACCTAAGCAATTTCATAATTGGTTAAAATAATTAGTTAACTATAAAAACTTTGATCATGTATTCCAAATTATGATATGCAACTTACATGATCATGAAACCAATTATAAAAAGTTTCACTTTGTAACTTTTGTATCTTATATGACGTAAGTTGAGGAGATCGATTATGCCTTTTAAGAAGTTGCTCATGTTTTTTACATGAAAAAAATTCTTAGAAGATTGTACAATATACTACAAAAAAATTTATTAACTATAATATGTATGTGGATATGTGTTCTTACTTTATAAAAAGAGCAACGTCATCAAAATTAAATAGCACATGTTGATATGCTTGAACCAAAGTTTTTTTATCAAGTACAATATGTGGGACTCTTTTACGCTTGTTAACATTAAAACTTTTACATTTTTTCCTTCCCAATAGTCATTCTATAGTAGAAAAAATGGATACATCTTTCTCTACAAAAAGATTTTGATCTTCATTTTAGATGGGTTAATTAAAAGTAGTCTCCATCCTATCAAAATATCTTGAACAAAAAGTTATGCATTTATATGCTAAGTAGCCTTTTGCAATTGAACATTCAGGACATGCTCTATTGCGCACATATGATTTAAGAGTAAGAAAAAACCTATTTAAATGAAAGTTCAATAGAAAAGATCATTAGCAAACATACTAGATGAAATTTAGTATAAAAATCTATAACACTTTAAGATATATCTTTTAATAGGATACATCCACTGATAAATGATTATACCGATAATTTTTGCTTTATTTGCCAAATGGATAACTAAGTGTACCATTATTGTGAAAAAAGATAGAGAAAAACTCTTTTCCATTTCATATATAATTGATGCAGTCCAAGACTCAAGTAATTTAAGCTCATACTCTTAGAAAACTTTAGAATAAATTTCTTTAAAAAAAGTACATAAGTCAATAAGAATCAAGCACACCTCATTAGGTAAAGACCATCGTATTGCGACGAGAAAAAAATTTGCA